GGGTTCCAAATTGGTACTGTCCTGTCTTATCCATGGCTACTGAGAAACATGGTGGACCTATTCCAAATCCAAAAGCTGGGTTTCTTTTCTTTGTTACTGGTCCATGATCCCAATAGGGAGAATAGGCATTTCTGAATAACCACTACTCGGAAGACCCCCATCTTGCACCTTTAAAATTGAATACAAATAGATTTTTTCATTCTTTAATTGTGCGATATGCTTTTCTGTAATGCTTGTGACAGAGTAGAGGTCCAGGCACTTCCATAGCCTTAGGTACGTCTATTAGAACCCTGGTCAGTTTAAAAAGACCCTATTTTGAGTCGAAACGTTGCAGTGTTTCCTCGGTTCTAATAAATGAGCCCAAAGCTATTTGAGTGCCTGGACTTCTTCTCTTTTACTGGTATTACTTCTGTTGGGCTGGTGCTGGCCCATGGTCTAGTTTAGCACCCTTTGGCTTCAATGGATTGAGCGCAGTTCCTATCTTGATATTGTGAAGTATCAGTAAGGCTTGACCAAATCACCGACCATCAAAATATTCTGAAACGCTCAGGATGATTTCTAAAAATGTTATGTGCTTAATTCAGTTTTATCTCCGGCATTTTTTTTGTACATTCTTGTGAAAATCTATAACAATATTTGGTTAACATTTTTTATTGAAGAGGTATATGGTATATTAGGATGGTTTGCCCAATTAAATAGTGTGTTTTGGCGCCAGCATAATTAATTATGGCGAACTACAAAATGACTGTAATAAAAGTACAATACATAGTGCTAATTGTAAAATTCCTTTAATGGATATATATGAAGAGGGGATACTCACTAATAAGAAAATTATGGTAAATTGAAAACCATAATGGAGAATCTAGGATGAATATACCAAGCTGTGATTTTAACTGGATAATTTTGCCAAATCAGCTATATTGACCCCAGTTGGACAGTCTAGGTTTAATTTCACTACCATTCCCTGTTTAGTGAATAAAGTCCTGCAGTTTCCTATGTATTTTTTTTCCTAGTGCGTGGTAATAAATTCTGTGTATCGTTTTTCCCCATCCCCACTGTGTGTCTACCCCCAGCCCCTCCGTGTGTCTCTTTCTGTCCCCAGCCCCTCTGTGTGCCCCCCCCCCAGCCCTTTCTGTGTGTCTCTTTCACCCCAGTACCTTTTATATGTGTCTGTCCCTTTGTGGTCTCTTCCACTCCACTCACCCGTAACTTTGTTATCTTTCCCCCCTTCCTGCCTGCTTACCGCCTTGACTCTGGTACAAGCTAGTTCCTCCAACTCTTTTAGTTTATTGCTTGTGCTTTTCTGATCTGGGCAAATAATGACCTAAACCTACTTAGAGCTATAAGAATTTATATTATACTGTAGCATGTATGTGGTGTGCATCCATGTTACTGTAAGAGAGTCCTGGTGCATTAATTTGTTTTGTTTATACATTTTATCTATTCAGTATATTAAAGCAATACTTTAGCAACCAAAATCAGGAAGAAGAATTTAAAGGTTGTAGCCCAATGTAGTTTTTTATGCCAGGCCGAATTTTAGTCATGCGCCTGTATGCACAAAATTCTAAAGTGCCCCATGCTCCCTCATCCATGGCCGGTGCAACCATAAGGAGGCACAGAAGGCTGCCTAAGGTGCACCGGCCCAGGGGGCACAATCTCCATGTGACTGGCAGGAGGGGAGCGCACAGCACAACTCTTCCCTCCTGCCAGTCACTTCATGTAGTATGGCGGCGTGGACTGCTGCAGAGCATTTTCTGCATTCTGTACCCGGCCTGACAGAAAGCTGCTCGTTGCTCTCAGTGAGCATTTCCTGTCTGACCAGGTACAGGATACAGAAGCGTCCGAAGGTACAATCTCGTAAGTTTCCCCTCACATTCCAGGTTTCCTAAGCAACCCTTTCCTGGTCCCCAAGACAGGAGCCCGCTATCCGCTCGGCCATGCTACATAAAGCTGTACTGTGTGCTCACCTCCTTCCAGTTACCTAGAGATTGGGCCACTTGGGCTAGTACGACCTAGACAGCCGGCTGTGGCACCTTATGGTTGCGCCAACTCTGGGTGGTTGAGCAGGGGGCGCTTTAGAATTTTGTGCCTGCAGGCACCTGACATGTTAATCTGGCCCTGCATAAACCACTACAGTAAGCTACATCCTTAAAATTCTTCTTTCTGGTTACTAAAGTATCGCTTCAATATACTGGATATTTAAAATGTATTAACAAATCAATATAATACTGCAGGACTCTTTTACAGTGACATGGATGGACACTACAAACATACTACAGTATAATATAAATAGGTCATTATTTACCAAGATCAGAAAAGTGCAAGCAATAAACTATAAGGATCAAGGGAACTAGCCTGTACATGATTGTCCCAGTTACTAAGGACAATACTTTTTTTTTTTTTTTTTTTATAATTGCTCCCAGTATCCCATTTAAACATGTTCTTTTTCGTCAAGAGTCGTGAAGCAGCCACCTGAATCCAGTTTCTTGTGGTACCTTGAGTCTAAGACACTTCTGTTTAGTAGGTAGTTAGCCATAAGGGAAGGTCTGATCCACTAGTTTAATTGATCAATCCTGACGTTTCCCTGAACAAGCACTTTTTTCATTCAATCAGACAAGCAGGCTTGAGTCAGGCTTTATTCCTGAACTGGACATCATTAGTTATTGATTTCTTTCTGGCCTCCTGTCTCTGTTGATAAGTGTTACAGTATCCTGGGGATTTTGGCTACGAAATATATTTTGTTTCCCCATCCTTCAGTGCCCATACATCTGTACACATTTAAATTGAAACTCAAGGTTACAAAAGGCATTTTATTATGGATATGGTTAAATGCTAGAAGTATGATTTTATACTCAGCTGAAGCTCTCTAGTATATCTGGGATTTTCACCAGATTTCATGCATTTGTTGCATTTGTCTTTAAAAGAAACAGTTTGTTTGGCTATGATTCTTCAATTTTTTTTTTTTTTAATGAATCGTTTTATTCGGAGAATGTGGCAGATAGATGGGGATTTTAACTCTGTATCACAAAACAATGAAAAAGGATTATCCATTAAAAAATGAATTGAAATGGTTTAGTTTCAGATTAATGTATTCACTATCAAACAAATCAATTCTCTTAAAGATGAATGCACTGAATGCACAAATCTAATCTTCCTTGTGTTTAATTTGCTAAGAGCCATCACCACTTTTACACTATTACAAAGGATCAACCATACAACTGGAATTCTGAAAAATTAAGGGTAGAAGTTCCTGTTTTTATCAACTTTGTGAACCTAGGTTAGACAAAGACGCCCCTATCTTGTCTTATGAAAAATGTTGAGTTGGAATTCTATTAAAATTCCAGTGTAGTCAACACGAGTATTTAAAAAAAAAAATTGTATCTTTTTGAAATGCTCGGAAGTGAAAGAGTTGCTTTTATCACAAGAGCTGAGTTGATTAACAACTCAGCTCACCTTTCATGCCTGCTCATCTGCTCAGTAAAATAGCACCTTGCAATATCTCTTGGGTTTGCACATCTTCTCTAGGAGAGGATTAAGCTGTGATCATGGGTGGATGTACGCGCAGATACGTTTATTGGCCTTACCTGCAAATGCACTCCCAGTACAGTGCCTAGACATAATATCAGCTGGTTACCGTTAGTACTCTATGCTTGCTGATGCCGATCATAAAATTTGGACAAAATTGATGTCAAGTTAAATAATCAAAAGGGCAAATAAGTGGCCCTACACACTGAAAGGGGATGTGTTATTTTCCAGGCTAAAAGGAGGCAGAAAAAAAAAAGCAATGGTTCTCTAACCACTTCAAAAAGCTAAAGGGGTTCTGGTACTTCGAATGACTCTTACATCTCTACCTTGCTACAAGAGTACCATCAACTTACTGCATTCTTGTTGTTTCTGGCTAATGCTACAATAGGTATATGGCCTCCAACCCAATTTTTCAATGTTCTATTGCTTTGCAGCAAACCTCTAACTTACTATTGTGTAAAGGGACTCTATAGTCACCAGAACAATGGCAGCTTTTTGTATTTGTTATGGTGAGTGTAATGATTCCCTTCAGGCTTTTTGTTGTAAACACTATCTTTTCAGAGAAAAGGCAGTGTTAACATTACAGCATAGGGATACCTCCACTCTCCACTCCTTAGATGGCTACTAGAAGTGATTCCTGGGGCATCCTCTGCATGCAGACTCGGAACTTTCCTCATAGAGATGCTTGATTCAATTCAGCTCTATGAGGAGATGCTGATCGGCAAGGGCTGTGTTTGGCTTGTGCTGACGTTGCCCCTGATCTGCCTCCTTGACAATATCAGCCTATAGTGTTAAAGATAGTGTTTTTAACACTATGGGGTCAGTAATACATGTTTGTGTTCCTGAGCCTATAGTGTCCCTTTAAACACTAGACACAATTCAAAGATAGATTCATCCCAATCAGTAGTTTTATTTAGTATTAGTAGATTTAATTCAGTTTAGGAATTATTCTTCAAATACCAATTAATTCAGGTCTACTAGCCACCTGTGATGTGATATAAACATTTAACTGAATATACGTAAAGAACCCTACTACTGTCAGATTTACACATTTTAGCCATCTTTGCAAACAGAGCAAGCCTTGAGGTCTGAAACTGGACAATCTCCCAGGGAACATGCTTTGAATGGGGCTAGCAAACAAAAAGCAACAAAATCTAAATGATGGCCATGCAACATGACATTTGCCTATGAGCATGTCCATACCAGTAAGTGTTCCTTGTAATGCCCTGCAGCTGTGACAAATCTTCCATATATATTTTAAAACTTATCAGCTAACCTTAATTAATTCAACAGCATTCAATAAATGAGATACAAATCAACATTTTCTTTCAACATGTATCGATAAAGGAGGAGACTAATTGTTCAAGAGTAGTGATGTCCCAAACTGTTCGCCCAACGGTTCACGAACGGTTCGCCATGAACGGTTCACCACGGACTCATCATTGAGTAAACTTTGACCCTGTACCTCACAGTCAGCAGACACATTCCAGCCAATCAGCAGCAGACCCTCCCTCCCAGATCCTCCCACCTCCTGGACAGCATCCATTGTGAAGCTGAATTCATAGTGAACTGTCCAGGAAGTGGGAGGGTGTGGGAGGGAGGGTCTGCTGCTGATTGGCTGGAATGTGTCTGCTGACTGTGAGGTACAGGGTCAAAGTTTACTCAATGATGAGTCCGTGGCGAACCGTTCGTGGCGAACCGTTCGGTGAACAATTCGGGACATCACTATTCAAGAGTATAATATAAAGAATTCATTTTAAAGTATATGTGAATGGAGGAGGCAGACATGACATGCCAATCTACTCACAAGTGTAATCACACTATCAAGAAATGCGAGGTTATTTAGCGGTTAAGAGGAAAGTGGTTGGAACATAACCTTCTGCCAGGTTACCGGTGAAAAAGTCTATAAGACCAGACAGCTTCCTGGAATAAGGAACACAGATTATGCCACCAGATTTACAGCCTAGCCAAGCGCTATTCAAGTGATCTTCTTGAGTGATAGAAGATTCATCGATATCAGCGCAGGGTAAATCTGCAGACTTGGCAAACTACTCTTATTATTAGCGAAGAATGGGACTGAATTCTATGTTGAACTAACCCTTACAGCATAGATAATACGTTAAAACTAACAAATGGCATGAGAACATGTTAATATCTGTAAAGAAAACTAGTTAACGTTAATGGCTTGGGATTCCCTAATCTGCCACCACGTTCCACGCTAAAGAAAACATAATTCCAGCTAACAATGTTGAAAATGTGCTTTTCGAAGGAGATTATTTTTAATTAGCCGGTATGATGATTCATTTAAGAACAGCCTCTGCTAGCAAGCTTAAGCTCGTTTATTCATGTGTATAATTAATCTTCTAACACGTATATGTGTTTCTGTTGTTAGACCTACCATCAAAATAGTGCCCCGAGGACCTAATGGTTGTATAGTTGCATTGTCAACAGAGGATTGGTGCATCTTAAGGTTCTCTGTTTTACAGCAAATTAGCACATTAAAGCACAATAAAGATGTAAACATAAACAATATATAATCACATCCAGATTTCCTCTAAATTCTGTAAACTGAACAGTTCCTAGAGCAAGGTAAAGGTGACACCTAAAGGAGGCAATATGCATTCTTTTTGTGTATTGTACTCAGTGCACGGTTTGGTATGGCTGGTTCTAGAATCTTGTTGTCCACTGAATGACATTTTCTGGGGTGGCTTGAACCGAGGCTGTTGTAACCAGACTGCTTTGGTAAACAAGAAGCTACTTCTTATATAAAGATCTTAATAAATTACTAGAATGTTTGATGATGCTTAATGAATCCTGATGTAGTTACATCACAGAATTTAATGAATCAATGTATAACCCTCTAAGTAGTCTCTTCTTGCAGCTGACATCTTAATAAGATATCGTTCAGAGATATCAGAGTCTAGATATCCAGAATAACGTGCCGTTGGTTCCAGATGCTAAGCATGTTAATATGCAGTGGTCTTCATCTATCACTGGCTACAATATCAGCCATATAATATAATAATATTTAATAGACTTTTGTTTGACACTTTGTACTTCAATTGTTTGTTTATCTTGTGAAGTCCAGCATTTATTATATTGAAATTGAAATTGAATTATTTTATGGAGTAATTGTAATTTGCTTCCAGTCACTGATACATCCTTATATACCCTTAAAGTGGTTCTCTAGGCACTATAACCACTGAGGAATATCCTCCACAATAGCCTTAGCCTTCAACGGAGGTTGGATCTATGGATCTATGGATCCCCAAACAGTGTCAGATCAATCAAGTTTTTTTGACACTAAAAAAAGGGATGGTGCCATGTGACTCCAGGCACCATAACCACCTCAGTGAGATGAAGTAGTTATGATGCCTAGAGGGTATCTTTACGGCTGGCAAAGCAAACTAGGAAGTGTAGTTCTACAACAGAAGGGGTTCTACCTTTGACTGTCCGTGCCCAAGTGTCCTGTATTTTTCCTCTCAGTTACTTGTGAAAATAATGTCAAACTATGATAAACCATTTATTTGAGCAATTCGATTTTTCAGATTTTAAGTGAACATAATGTCGCAGCATGGTTAAATTCATCAAATGGTTGATCTTGATTCATGGGTGTTGAACTTACTGTAAAACTCACTTCCTTTCCCCTACCGGCAGACTACCTTCATAGCAAGTGCATCAGTGACTGAATATGGTGATATTTCATATATTTCTCTAATAAAGTGCAAGACACACACTCAGAATAATAGTCACAGCAACTACAGTGCATGTTCTGTAGTTGCTGTGAAGGAAAACTAGAGAACCACCTGCAGGAAGGTTCTCCTGCTACTGACCTATCCATCAATCCTCAGCATACATGCTATGGAGCCAGCATAGCCATTTATGCAAGAAATTGATTGACAAATTATGTAAGAACCCATACATTTTTTTGAAATAAATCTGTATATTTGCTAGCAATAAATATGAATTAAATCCTCTGTTGTTTAAATTGTGCATACATTGTGTGTATGCTAATACTTTAAATTATAAAGCAACTCCACGATGATTGTAAAACATCATTAATGGTAATTATTCAGTAATACCTGACAGTGTCAATAATATCATTCTGTAAGACAGGACATAATTGATGTCTTTGATAAACAAACAAAATGGTGTTGGAATTATATGGTTAAAACGAAAGAGAACTGCACTGTTCTGTAAATACCTCTAGCATAAAAAAATCATTTAATATCGAAGGAGTAATATCTTATCAAGTCAAACCAAAGTTATTTGCACACAGAAATAGAGTAATTTAATGAGGATATTCCTCTTGAGGTAAGCCTGTATTGAAATGTTTGCTGACCCAAAGGGTGTAAGGTAATTTTGAATTACATTCCTGTCAATCAAGATTCAGCAATCACAAGAGGTTCTCCAACACTAGACAAGGCAACGGAAGATAAGGTACAAATGATTTCTGATAAGTGACAGGGCAGTCAACAAGACATTGCAAGCATAGATAAGCTTTTAGTCTTCCCATTATTTTCATTCAATCACTAGTTTATTCACGCCTGCTGTAAATAATGAAATAGCATCTACGCTTAGATACAAATTAAAATTTGTTATGATATAAAAACAAACGCTTCTCTTTGGCTTTTCCTACATTTTACTTATTTTTTTTCATTTTTTTTTACTTACGAACGTGCTCATTGACTAATTTAACTTTTTCTGTATTCAGCGAGTGTTCTACGAAATTCAATTAGTAATTAGATTTCACCAAGGTGATTCTCCACAGTCCTCTAAAATCTTGTGGATAATCGAAGACCTATAACGCTACGCAATGCAGCCCCGTCTCTCCAGATGGGGTGCCAGGACATAACAAAATAAAACTATTGCTCTGGGTCTCAGTTAGCTCTAATTTGATATGAAGAGCTGAATTTGGAACCACTCCACAAGGTAGCAATGAACTGGCATTTGTCGTGGAAACCTCACATTGGAATATTCAGATCAAACAGAATTACAGCAAAGTCGGTCTTGTATCGACGCTACACTACAATTTCGACAATGGACAGCACATAGATCGAAGAGAACATTTGTTCTTCTGTACTTTCATGAGACACGGCTTAGCTATCCTAGTCACAGCTGTTTAGCTTATACACAAAAACATTATGCACTAAAATGTAAAACCATTGCATCGCTACTTTTGTATAAGTGCTGCAATAGGTCATTTAGCAATTTTAACTGTGCTACCAATATGCAAGAAGTATTTGAGTAAATGATGAGTTGGCCTATATATTTATATATATAATATACACAAACATGGTAGAGAGCACTCAGAGGGATAGATGGAATTAAGCTGCATTATTTCATGTAGCAAATGAAAAAATTGACTTTTCAGTACACTCAACAGGACTTTTAACAAGATAAGTCCCAATAAAAGTACCATTAAGATGACTGAAACATAGTTTTGCTACATGAAATAAAGCCATTTAATTCACTGTATCAAGACCTCTAAGTGCTCTTTATAATGTTTGTGTATTTTTCAGCAAGACTATAGCACCGAGGCAGTAGCTTTGGAGAAGTTAAGTACAAAGCCCAGGTTTCATATATGGAACCAGGAAGACTGCATGCATGCATTATTACTGTGCACTGCACAGAGCCCCAGGAGGATAGATGTCCCAAGTAAGTAAGTTAATCTCATAACAGCAACAGTTAAAGGGACACTATAGTCACCAGCACAACAACAGCTTATTGAATTTGTTCTGGTGAGTAGAATCATTACCTTCAGGCTTTTTGCTGTAAACACTGTCTTTTCAGATAAAAAACAGTGTTTACATTACAGCCTAGGGATAACTTCACTGGCCACTCCTCAGATGGCTACTAGAGGTGCTTCCTGGAACAGTGATGCACAGTGTGACTGCTATTCAGTGTCTCCACCCCCTGCATGCAGACACCGAACAATGCTCATAGAAATGTATTGATTCAATTAATCTCTATGAGGAGATGCTGATTAGCCAGGGCTGTGTTTGCCTTGTGCTGACTCTGCCCCTGATCTGCCTCCTTGACCGTTTCTGCCAATCCTATGGGGAAGCATTGTGATTGGCTCAGACCACCACTTTTGATGTCAGCCAAGCAGCCAGATCAGGGGCAAAGGCAGCAGCTGCAGACTTGAATACAAGTAAGATTTTACTATAGTTAGGGAGGCAGGGTGCTCGGGGAGGGGGGTGGGTGGGGCTATATGGTGGTTTTAAAACTAAAGGGTCAAAAATACATGTTTTTGTTCCTGACGCTATAGTGTTCCTTTAAGTAGCTACAAAAAGAGCTTCCAAAAATGGGCATTGTGGTAGGCTCATGTAATGTATGATCATATATTATAACTAAATCCCATTATTTTTGTCTATGTCTGGTGTTTTTAAAAACACTATTACATCTTGTGAGCTTTGAAACAGAATTTTAGTGACTGAGTGAGCTGGATTCTGGATATTCACAATCTTTATCGGTTCTGGTACATAATTACAACAAAATCAGACTTGGATCCACACTTAACATGTGCACAGTCGTTATTCAACATGTGCTAAACCTTTAACCCCTTAGGGACCCATGACATGTGTGACATGTCATGATTCCCTTTTATTCCAGAAGTTTGGTCCTTAAGG